TATCCTTAAATAACCATATGTTACAAATGCCTCTAAACCTCACTTGCCCTCTCATACCATACCATCCTGCCTCCCATGTCCTTCCCATCATGCCTCTCATGCCATTCTACCCTGCCTATCATGCCACTGCCTTCACCACCTCAAGAGTTTCCAGGGGTCACGTTCAGTTGCTCCTTGACATTTGATACTTCCTGATCTCTCTTTCTCTCCCCTCTCTAGACTTTCCTTACCATTCAGTATTAAAATACAAATTCCACAATTTATCTCATGTTATCCCAGCAAGCACGACGCAACCAACGTTAAAAATAAAATACAAAAAATTGCAAAAAAAATGTAAATATTGCGTTGCGGTTATGTAATTATCACACCTCGTTTTCAATTCCTTCTCGGTAATGTTGGCATACATATAATCTTATTTGCCAAAAAAAGTTACCTTATCTCGTTGTTTATCAATATCTAGCGAGCGCTGTTGAGTTTAGCTTGTTACTACTCTCATTACGGGCTCACTATAGCCGGTGCTACTTGGAACTTTCTGATCCAGGTAGCGAAACTCAAACAACAACAGCAATTGTTACTACTCTTTAGTAACTGCTCCTTTGCCTCGAACGTCTATCTTTTAACTAGACTCCGTAGTGAGCCTTGATGTGCAGACAGGGTTTTCTTTAAACAAATTTCTTAACAACTTCAGCTTGGATACACGCTTGACCAGGTCATGACCCGGTCACAGTCCATAATATCTGTCAGACAAATGCTTTCTTTCCGCACGTGGTGTTAATTAAGCAAGGTTTTCCTCCAGGAGCGTTGTCAAGCATAGCTTTCCTTCTACAAGCAAAGTCAAGACCGTCCACTGTGAACATTATCAACAGAAGCTTTCGTCTTCCGAGCACTGAATCGTCCTACGGGTTCAGGCTCTACTTCCCTCAAACCGCAAAGACATTCAACCTTTGCTTATGGCCAACTATATTCATCGAAGAGATATTCCAAGATCTATCTACCCAGAAGCAACTGTTAAAGCTATGGGCTTTAACAGTTTTGCATTCTCTGTGGATTCCTTTTCTTACTGAAAGTTGAGGTCTCCTTCTTGTCATCTTAACATAATTCTGCGTTGCAATGTTGTTCAACAAATATAATCCTCTAATTTAATCTTGATATAATAGTTTCCTGTTATAATAGCAAGAATCCGTCTTGGATACAAATATCCATGGAGATTCGGAATGGAAACAACAGTTGAGCAGCGGAGTTGTAGAATCTGTGATAAGAGTGACGGACACCGCCTTGACCACTACCTGAGAGAATGTGAACACCTGAGAGACATTAGAAATATGTGTAGAATAATAAACCCCATATTGTTTGAGTTAGGTAAACACTATTTGTCAAATATCGATACTGTTCTTAAAAAATTCCCCTCATTTTGCACCCGTAAGATAACGTAAGATTTTAAGGGTTGACAAATGTTAATCTTCTTATTTGAGGAGCTGTTCACTTGAGACAGTTAAGCAAGTCCCAGCTGTGTCTGGGTACAAGTGACAGGATGAACAACCCAGCGGGTTTTCTACCTATTGGAGGGGGGGGGGGTGTTGTACATGCTGCTATGGTGGTGTGTCACTCACAGGATGAGTGGCGCTGCCCAATACTGTCACTATGGCGATATGTCCACTCACAGGATGAGTGGCGCTGCCCAATACTGTCACTATGGCGGTGTGTCCACTCACAGGATGAGTGGCGCTGCCCAATACTGTCACAATGGCGGTGTGTCCACTCACAGGATGAGTGGCGCTGCCCAATACTGTCACTATGGCGGTGTGTCCACTCACAGGATGAGTGGTGCTGCCCAATACTGTCACTATGGCGGTGTGTCCACTCACAGGATGAGTGGCGCTGCCCAATACTGTCACTATGGCGGTGTGTCCACTCACAGGATGAGTGGCGCTGCCCAATACTGTCACTATGGCGATATGTCCACTCACAGGATGAGTGGTGCTGCCCAATAAACTCGCCCCTCGGGGCAAAATTTAAAAAAATAAAGGTTTTCGTGCCAAATCTAGCCCTCTGCTTTTCTAGGATTATGCTAGGCTTTCGTTCTACACTAAAATTTAATTAAATTTATCCCATACAGTTGAATAGTTGTTAGTGTTTTAAAATGGTAAATAATTAAATTAAAATAGATATTGTTACTTCAAAAGTTAAAGTTAAATTCTCACTAAAAAGAACGAGGAAAAGTTCAAATTCTCAAAAGAATTTCACCGTACATTATCTTTAATGATAAACGTTTTTAATATTAACCTTGATGAGTTTTAATTAATAAAAATATGAAATAAAATTCAATTAACATACAAAGAAAGTCAGTTCAGCTTAGCAGCAGACAAAATAAAATTTGTGAACTCTCCTAAACAAGCCATTCACAGGCAAACGCCTATATTTGTTGACAAACAAAAATTGTACTAGAGTTAATAAGAATCTTCCTTAAAAGGCACGTTCTTTTATTTTTTAAGCGTTTAACTATCACATCCTGTCCTTGCAAGGTCGCTTTATTAACATAGATAAAAGTCTATGTTGAAATGCAAGCCTATGATTTATTTTTTAAAATATTTGAATATTTCAAATATTTTGAAAATAGTAATAAGTAGGTGTGTAATCGCCGACAATATGTACTGAATCAACCTCCAAAGTATTTAATAAGGATTTGCAGTGTACGACTGAAAGCACCCGGTTTGGCAAGGTCGTGAAGATGCTGTTAGAAAGGTTTTGGCAGGAGACCTCCTTGTGTTAAGAGCGGTCCCGAAGGAGCAGGTACCGTACCTCATGTGTCCCGTAGCCTCGTAGGATTCTGACGCATTTCCAAGTGTTTAGTAGTCTTTTTAGTGAACAAATCCACAAGGGCCGTGACGAGGATTCGAACCTACGTCCGAGATCATCCCAGACGCTACCTTTATCGACTGAGCTACGAGCTTCGAGCTGCTGAGCTGTTCATTTGATGCATCACGCTATTGTGATTTCTGTGTGTAGTCTTTTAAGTATTTGTGGTCTTTGTCCGGGTTAACTGTCCGACGGTGACTCGGTCTGAGGTCAGGTTGACCCGCCCTGAGGTCAATATGACCCGCCCTGAGGTCAATATGACCCGCCCTACGATCATCATGACCCGCCTCGAGGTAAACTTGACCCGTCCTGAGGTCAACATGACCCGCCCTAAGGTTATCTTGACCCGCCTTCAGGTTAACTTGGCCCGCCCTAAGGTCAACTTGATTAGCTCATAGGTCAACTTGATTAGCTCTGAGGTCAACTTGATTAGCTCTGAGGTCAACTTGATTAGCTCTGAGGTCAACGCTTGATCCAATCTGAGGTCACGTCGCTGCTTCAATTTGCTTTGATATGCCTTAACATTTAAATATAAATTAGTTTATATTGCACACTGAAACTCAGTATCCCTTAACACATGTGTGGGATCACGTGTGTAAAATTCAAATCAGGTCTTATGTTAGTATATGAGACGAATGTTTAATTTAAAATATATTTAGCAACTCTTCAAAGTTACTCGTAATGGACATTTGAATCAGGTTTGGCTATACTTCCTATTTCACTTTTTCTACAATGACGAGACCAGTCTGGCGAGATTGCTACCTACAGGACGTACTAGAATGATGTGCTAATTGTACAGGAAACTCACTTCACAGCCCCCCCCCCTCTCCCCCCATGTAACAGATGGGGGTAAGTTGATTAAATTTCCTATAAAATTTAAGTTATATGAAAAGGGAAGGCAAATTATGATATATATATTAGAGTGAGAGAATTCAAAGTATGACTCGTATTGTCATGTGAAGATGAGATGAAAACATTAATAATAATACACAAACTTATGTCAATGCTACACCCGCCCCATTTCCAAATCCTTATCATGACCCCTTCCCAGTGCTATATAGTCGTAATGGCTTGGTGCTTTCTCCCTGATAATTTCCTCCCATGATTAAAACATATATATATATATATATATATATATATATATATATATATATATATATATATATATATATATATATATATATATGTGTGTGTGTGTGTGTGTGTGTGTGTCACAGAATTAAACACCACCTCTCAATTAGTGGCGTGGCTTGGCTCTCCTCAATACCTCGTAATGTGAATACTACACATTAGTAAAGGTAACTACTTCGGCGACTCTCCATATTATCCAAAACATATGCTTAATTAATGGCAGGTCTCATTTCCTTCTACTTTACTCTCTCCCTCTATTCAACCCCTTACTCTCGCCCTGTATTCCTCCCATTACTCTCGCCCTCTATACCAGGTGTTCTTTACCATTTAAAAATCGAATCCCATACCCTTAAGGGTATGGGATTCGATTCCTGAACAATTTTAAAAAGTATTAGAAATAAATTTATTATCACTACAAGTAACAATCAATACTTTGATTGTACAAAAACAACAGGAAAAATCTCAGTAGTCATAGCTAGCTTTTGTATTTTTTATTTACCGATTTTCTATAATATAAAATCCTTATGTTTTTCTTTCAACAGTTCTATTCCTAAAAATCCACAAGTAAAATAAAACCTCATTATTGACATATTTTGTTGCCATACTGATTTTGGTGACAATAATGATTTCGACTGTCTGGCTAAGGGAATAATGGAGGTATATTGGGCAAGCCATTGGGGGCCAAACCCTTAAAAAAAAAAGTTGAGAATGCTTTACATGTACAGGGGAATACCTCTATACATATAAAACTCGAAAGGGGGTTATATACAATTATAAATATAACGGTAATTCAAAAATATTGTTAATAATATTGAATAATACCCCTGTGGACACAATATCCAAGAGCAACGACAATTCAAAGATAATTATCGTCGTCGAATTAGAGCCAATCTTTGATATTATGCCCACTGGGACGAGAGAGAGAGAGAGAGAGAGAGAGAGAGAGAGAGAGAGACCGAGAGCAAGAAGGGTGTTGCAGGTAAAGACAGTGAAGGTCGGTATATAAACGCCGCCATGCTGGGAGACTGCTCACTCGGAGGTAGCCGTCCGCGCAGACATGAGGATTTTGGCGTAAGTACCAGCCTCATGCTATTCCCCCCTCTCTCCGTGGCACACAAACTTGGATTTTTGCTTTGGTTTTACATTACATCCATCATATTTTCTCCCTCGTTACTCGTACGAAACACACAGATGGATAATTTACAAGTATGTTTCATCATTTGTGTCCTGTGCGAAGGAAATGCATTGTGTCGAATTTCCGGGATTATATTCAACGAAGACGAGGCTATGTACTGGAAATCTAGACTGAAAATAGGTGTTTATGCTATATATTCGTCTGTGAAGGGAATAATGCCCTCCATCCAATCTCAGAGGTTGTCTCAAGATGCCTGCAGACGTTGGAATTTTCATAATGTTTACTTTTGTTTGTATATTTTAATCGCCAGGGGGGCAAAATAAATTTGTAAAATAGTATGTAAAAGTTTTAAGTGGATAGCGTTCTCGTTGAAGTGAAGTTTAATCTCGCTTTGTGTGCGCCTTTTGTTTAATCAAATTTATATGAATAGTGCTGATATATAAAATGCTGTTCAACGAAGCATACAGGTATACTAATTGTAGCCTGATAAAAGTATACTAACAAGCTTTAATACTAGTATACTAGCTAGCTTTAAGATTAGTACACTAACTAGCTTCAAGACTTAAATACTAACTAAGTTTAAGACTAGTATGCTAACTAGCTTTTTATAACTAGTCCCAATATTTTAAGGGCTGCTTTAAGTGCTAGCATACTAATTAGTTTAAGACAAATTCTAGAATGATATGCAGCTCTACTCAAGAGCCTCATGGAGCTCTTAAGATGAGAATACAATCTGTGCTCCTTATGTCATTCATTTTTATAAGCCCACTACGGGCTCACCGTAGCCCGTGCTACTTGGAACTTTATGTTCCAGGTAGCCAATCTTAAACAACAAACAACATTCATTTAAACATCAGACATGAAAACATCTCTGTGGAAGGTTGAGTCTCGAGACATAGCAGATATAGCCTATGAAAGATCACGAAACCTTCTGTGTGTAAGGTATTATTTACACGGCACCAACCATACGAACGATTGGTGAAAAGAAAATAATCATTATATACGATTGTTATCCCCATTGACATAATAAGTCAACCACATAATTCCCCGTAACTACTGCCTCCCATGCTGTCTTGATTGATTCAATTTGCGATTATTGCTGATGAAACCTGTCCCACTTCTGCTGGCATTCCAACTGCTGCTGCTGCTATGACCACTAGCACTCCCATATTAGAACTGAATCAAGTTTTGCACGATAAATATCAGACTTAATGTGTTGAACAGCATAACCGCACCACTTCTCAATTATGAAGAACTGAGAATAATTACAGTAAATTAAGATATGCTCGAGGGATATCATCAACATGTTACAACAGCTATGGAAAATCAGCCTCTCTACCCTTGTATTTGTTTAAGAAAATGCCGCAAAAAACACCAATGCAGCTCAAGTGGTTTGCAATTTTGTCTACGTAAGTGTTGAACGTCATTTAATAGAGTTCGTGCTGGAAAAAATATATAAAGTGTGCAGCGAAAAAAAAAGCATAATATTCAGCCAAAGAAAGTGGTCAGATGAGAAGGAACAATAAGAGGGAGACTAATGTATGACGCCACTGGTCGACTGTCGTTATTCTAGGCTCGCGGCTCTGGCGAAATCGGCCCACCACCGTTACACCGAGTTTTTTGTTGACCTTGATATTCAACCAACGCTCGGGGTGTCTGGGTTACCAATGATTTCCAAAGATATAAAGCGACCGCTTACTGATATGGTTCACATTGAGGGTAAAAGTTACGTCGGAGTTGCTTTCTGAACACTATATATAGACTTCTATTGTGTTTGTTTTAAATCTAGTACTATTTATAGTTATAGGTACTTTTGTACAATACTACAATAGTACCTATAACTCATGGAGATAAATATAGGAGCGCAAGAATTGGTTTTACTATTATTAATATTAGCTACGATACTACGATATTTTGCTACGATACTCGGTGGGCGACACGACTCTGAAAGAACTCGACAACTCTTGGTTAGTTCTTAATGACTTTGGTTCACTGCTTGACACGGCTCGGAAAGAACTCGACTAGACTCTTGTTGGTACTCAAGGAGTCTGTTGGTACTAATCATGGGTGTGAATGGGAGAGTCAGGCCTGCGTTTTGGGTGTCATGGAGGAACTTACACCACACCGTGGGTGAAAGTGACCAAGAGTGAGACCACTGGGAGGTCGGGCGAGGTGTGATGAAAAACGTTATCATTATCTTATACTTCTTCTGTATTATTTACTGGTCTTCTTCTTCGCTTCCTATTTGCTGCTTCTTTTGTATTATTTATTGGTGCTTTAGTCCGCCTTGAAGATTTGTTACATTGTGTACTGGCCTAACTGTGCTTGCGGGAGTTGGGCTTCGCTCTTTGGTCCAGCGTCTCGAGTGGTCTACAGGTTACTGAGCCAATTGGGCTTAATTATATCTACATCTGAAACTGTATGGTGTGTGCCTTCACCAAATCACCTCCCAAGTGCATTCCAATTGTTAACTACTCTGACATTGAAAAAGTTCTTTCTAATGTCTCTGTGGCTCATTTGGGTTGTCAATTTCTATCTGTATCCCCTTGTACGAGTACCAACCGTGCTAAATAGTTTGTATTTATCTACCATATTAATTCCCCTGATAATTTTGGATGTGGTAATCATGCCTCATTTAACTCTTTTGTCTTCCAGCGACTTGAGATTCTATTCATGTAGCATTTCCTCGTAACTCATACCTTGAAGTTCTGGAATAAATCTGGTGGCATATTGCTGGAGCAGCGTACTCCAGGATTAGTCTGATGTATGTGATATATAAGGTTCTGAATGATGCCTTGAGGCAAATTTCTAAAGGCATTTCTTTCGTTTGCCAGCCTCGCGTATGCCGCTGGTGATAACCTTTTGTTGTGGGCCTCAGAAGACAGTTTGGGTGTGATTTCAGTCCCTACGTCTTTCCCTCTGTCTGCTTCATGAATGATTTCATCTCCCATTTGGTACTTTGTATCCGCCTTCTCCTCCCTCCAACTAGTTTCATTACTTTACATTTACTTGAGTTAAACTCTAGTGGTCATTTGTTAGACCATTCTTTTGGTTTTGTCCAAGTCATTTTGTACTATCTTGCTGCTTTCCTGTCTTAATCCTCCTCGCAATTTTTGCCTCATCAGCAAATATTGAGAGGAGGGAGTCTGATCCCTCTGGAAGATCATTTAAATAAATGACAAACAAGATAGATCCGAGAACTTAACCCTGTGGGACTCCGCTAGTGACATCTCGCCACTCCGAGACCTCAGCCCTCACAGTAACTCTCTTCTGCTGCTTAGGTACTGTAGTCCACTATCCACTGCAACACCTTCCCAGTCACTCCTGCCTGCAATGATATGGATAAATACGATTTTCGTGTTTCATCTGTTGGTCATGTTCACATATTTTATTTTGGGTCCCTGTTTCAGTTGTCCTGTCTCTGCCTCATTCCCTGCTGATCAATTTCCTTCCTTCTCTTCCTTCCCCCTTTCTCCACAATCCTGACCAACACTTTTCCATCCCCCTCGCCCCCCCCCCTCCCACCTCCCCTCGGCAAGGGTGATCCAGCAAGACCCAGGAAAGTAAAAGGCTGAGAGTTGGGACGTGACCCGCACCTGGTTTGACCCCACGACCTACATCCTCCGAGCGGGTCCTTACAGTTACACGAGACCTCCACAGGACAAGTAAAAGGCCCTTTGTCTGCTGCCTCGACTCGCTGGCCTCAGCAGGAAGGAGAACTTGAAGCGAGAAAGATAAAGAGAGAGAGAGAGAGAGAGAGAGAGAGAGAGAGAGAGAGAGAGAGAGAGAGAGAGAGAGAGAGAGAGAGAGAGAGAGAGAGAGAGAGAGAGAGAGAACCGGTAATCATTTACCGAGTGTGATTACCTATGTCCGGCCTGGCAGAGAGACCTTCAACTGTCACCTTTGTTATAGAGAACTCTGCATGATGGTCGTCTTATTACTAGTAATATTAAATGAACAAATCCACAAGGGCCTTAATGAGGGTTCGAACCTTTGCACTGGATGTTCCCGGACGCGTTCCTAGTCTGTGTGTAGTAATTTTCTATTTCTGTGTGCAGTAAATATTAATTTCATTATTGCTGCTGCTGATAATAATAATGAAAGAGCAAAAGGTTGCTGCTACATTTAGTATATATATACAAGGAATATGTGCATATATACATACATACAATCCCACAGTTCTTTTCAGCAGATGGAACAAGTTAATATAAGTCGTGAAGTGGCAAGATATATTGCACGAGGCGGGATTGTTCATGGGAAAACACAACACTGCAATAGTGCAATCAAGACCTCGTAGTATGATCTGAACAGTGGATGATATAGTGACGAGTCAGGCAGTGGCTGTAGCCGAGCCAGTAACTAAGCAAGCACTGGGAACAGGATCAAGCAAGCGTGAAATTGGGTGAAGCAAGATCTAAGCATAGGATAAAATGGGCGTACAATCGTGTGTGTGAAGCAAGGACTGAGAATAGGCTCAAGCCAAAACTAGGATTAAGCCAGAGAGGAATGTAGTGTTGCATACAGTGAAAATATTACCAGGCAAAGGGAGGTTGATGGGTGCACGGTGAGTGGTGAGACAACACCGCTTGAGGCTTGCGGTCGAGGTGTTCCCAGACTGTGTTGTGTTTACCTCGGGCCATGGTCCATGCTTCTCCTAACTCGGGCCATGGTCCATGCTTCTCCTAACTCGGGCCATGGTCCATGCTTCTCCTAACTCGGGCCATGGTCCATGCTTCTCCTAACTCGGGCCATGGTCCATGCTTCTCCTAACTCGGGCCATGGTCCATGCTTCTCCTAACTCGGGCCATGGTCCATGCTTCTCCTAACTCGGGCCATGGTCCATGCTTCTCCTAACTCGGGCCATGGTCCATGCTTCTCCTATCTCACTCTTGCCGCTTTCTTCATTTTCTGTAATTATTGTTTCCTTGATTCTAAT